AATGATAAAGAGTATGAGAAAAAATATTTGCAGATCACATATGTGACAGAAGAATAGTATTTAAAATACATACAGGACTTATAAAACTCAATAGTTAAAAAACAATTTAGAAAATGGGCAAAGGACAAAAAGGACATTTCATTAAAAATGATGTTTTGCTAGCAAATGAGCATAAAAAATGAGGTTCAAATTTATTAGTCATTAGGAAGATGAAAATTAAAATTACACAGAGATGTCACTACATGCTATCAGAATATAGTGATAACAAAATTCTGGCAAGGATGCAAAGAAGCTGGATCATTCATACACTGGGGTTAAGAAGATAAACTAGTACAGTTCTGTAGAAAAATAAATATGCAATTACCCTCTAACTCAGCAATTGCAATCCTGTGTATTTTTCCTAAAAAAAATGAAAATTTATATTGTAGAAATCATGTACATGAATGTTCACTGAGGTTTTACTCTCATAATAACCCGAAAGTGAAAACCCAGATGCCATTCAATGGAGTGGTTCGACAAACTTTGGTTTGTCCAAATCATGGGATACTACTCAGATGTAAAAACAAACTACTGATCCACACATCTTGGGTGACTCTACAGAGAATTTTTCTTAGTATAACATTCTTGAAATTACAAAATAATAAACATGAAGAACAAATTAGTGGTTGCCAGCAGCTAAGGAGGGGTTGGGGCAAGAGTGAAGTGCTTGTGATTAATAGCAATCCTAAAAGTGATGGAACTGTTCTATAACTTGACACTATCTAAATATGAATATTCTGATAAAAAGTAAAAAAACTCTCAGCTTACTAAAACAAATGCATTTTATTTTATTTTTAATTCACATATTAATTTTTGTTTTTTGAAATTTTATATAAATTTTACATCATTTTTCATTTTTTGCACAATGTATGCACTTTTATCTTGGTTATATTCCCCATACAATTCCCACCCCCACTTATTTTGACCCTAATCCCCCCTCTCCACCCTCCCACAAATGCATTTTATGCTGAAATAATTGGCTAAATTTAGTGAATCCACTAAATCTCATCTGTTGTTTTAGCATAATTTTATTACTAAGAATATTAAAAATGGGAAACCTGCTTATAAGTCAGATACTACAAAATCATGAAGCTGAAATACCCATTGATGTTTAACCCATTTTTTTAAAGATGTATTTATTTATACAAGAACCGGGGTACAGACCAGGTGCACAGGAGGGTGAGAGGACTCACCAGAGACAGAGCAGGGAACAGAACAGGCAGACTGACAAAATACACTGCTGAGGGGAGCAGTGGATGAGACAGGAGAGGTCTGCTCACAATGTGGGTTGCTCTGAGGAGGCCGGTGGGGATCAAACTGGCACTACAGAGGCTGTGGGCAGCTTCGCAGCCCAGTGCCACCAGGGGAGGCCCTAACCCATTATTTTGACAGCATTTGGTGCCTAGATTATTGTGCTCCAAGAGGTGCTTATCTGCAGTTGTTTTTGCTTTAGAATAATTTTAATCTTTATTTTGAATAGTTAATGGCATTAAGGGCATTGATTATAAAACATCTTCCCCCTCTTTTCTCGCAGTAAATGAGTTCCATCCCTACCTCCCTATCTATAAATCACCTATGTCCTCTATATAATTTGTTTATAATGAAGTTAATATGTATCTTCAAGTTAATGTGTTTTCTCCCCATCTATTTAACCTGCTTGTTTTCACACTGACACTATATGCATAATTCCACATCTTAGTTTCTCACTTAAAAAAATCTTCAACTTTTGCTGTATGTTCAATGTGTTAGTGCTGTTGTTTTTAAATATTATAAGCATGAATGAGCTTATATATTTAGGTCATTTCTGTATATATCTGGCATTTGCACATCTTTAAATTCCTTGAAGTGGAACTGCTTGATCAAAGGTCATGTGTTTTTATAATTTTGATAAATATTGCCAAATAACCTTTTATAAAAGTTGTGTCAATATGTACTATCACAAGCAATGCATTGAGACTGTTTCCCTTTGCTTTCAGCAGTACAGTTATCTGATAGGTTAAAAAGCTCCCAGGGTAAGCAAACTATTCAAAGATCACAAGCAATTAATCTTATGTGAAAGCACCTTAGCATATTAAACACAGAAAATAATCTTCAGGAATGAAAACAACTATACTATACGAGGCAATACTGTGCATTTAAAACCATGTTAAAGCTCCAAGGACTTGTCATTAGCATAAATGACAAGAAGATAAACTAGTACAGCTAGTATCAATAAACTAGTACCAATTACTTTGAGAAGAATAGTCAGGACTTCATTTTAAGTTATAAAATAAACTGTAAACAAATTTAAAGATTCCTGCCTTGTAACCTTTAATGTTTTCATACATATGCCCAAGGATCTTTGTTAACAATGTCATCAGCTCAGAAACTATTTTAAAATCTATTCTGTTTAGGAATGTATTAGTATGTCCAATCATTGTCTATGGTAATAAAGAATTGTATAAAATAATATAGTAATAGTTGTATAAAGTAATAATCATTGTATATAGTATAATCTTATAGCTTAAAAATATATAGAATCTTATATAGACTCTTATACCTTAAAAATGTGAATTTCTTACTTGCTTACACACAAAACTTATTTTATGATAGGCTAGGCATATTTTCTAAGATGCACAGAGTAAAATTTAAACTGTGGTCATTGGTTAAGGATAGTGTGTAGGTTTTAGCATTTATTCTTATTTTAAAAGTTCAATAATTGACAACTAAGATAACTTATCTCACTATTGGTATCCCAAATAGCTATTATCCAAACTTAAAACATCATTATTTGCTATGTGCTACAAGTTTGTGTCCCACTCACCTCTGGGTTTATATGTTGAACCACTAACCCCAAGATGGTGGTATTTTAAGGTGGAGCTTTTGGGGGTGGGTAATAAAAGAGACCTCAGAAAACTAGCCCCTTTCACCATGTGAAGACACAGCCAGAAAATCCCACTTATGTACAAGGAAGCTGGTTTCACCAGACGCTTCTACCATTACCTTGGTCTTGAAAGTCCTAGTCTCCAGACTGTGAGAAATAAATTTGTTATTGATGAGCCACCCAGTTTGATATTGTTATAGCAGCCTGAACCCTTTAAGACCACTTGGGCAAACAACACTTATTTCCTAAAAAACGTATCAATGCCTTTGGTAATGCTATTAAAATACTGTATCTTGAGTCATACATTTTGGAAGTATGAAGTAATTGAATCAAGTATAAAACTATGCAACCGAAGATTAATGTCAACAAACAGTAAGAGATTATCTTCCTTTCCAAATAGTGTTAAATTCCTGTCTTCCTGTAGAAACACTGTTTCCCTTGGAAGGAATGGTCAAATGAATTCAATTTTAAATTTGGTGGGATAATATATTTTACTCCAACATACACAAGGATATCTGATCATGTGGATAGAAAAGGCACTCACACAATTCTGATGGTCAAATACGCCGAATTTAATGAAATACAGTCAAGAAAAATTCAATCCATCAAGTATTTAAGCACTGACGACAAGTTAAGGCCAATACTAGGCGCCTAAGACAAAAGCAAGTCTATTATCTTAGCACGATTCTTGCAGAAATGAGGCCAGGTGGGGTCAGGAGCTCCATGGGGTTGCTTTTGCAGAACATATTTTCGGAAACAAATTGTTCCAGGTTTCGGGGACAGTAATCAGGCATCGATAAACATAAAATAGCTTTAAAAAAAATGGGCGAAGGAGCCCCAAGGTAGTACCTAAAGCAAACCCTCCACCCCTCCCGTGCTTCTGGCTAGAGAACCACACAAACGAGGCTGAGTAAGACCCGTTCTACCTTTAAGACCTGGAAGAGAAACGGTCGGACGGCGAGAAACGGTCGCAGTCTCATTTGCATAAGCACCCAAACACTGCAGACGTCACCGCGCTCGAGTGCGGACCCCGCCCCGTCTTACTCCAGCGTTAGCCAGCGAGGGAGGACGATGCAATGGGAGCCGGGAAGCCAGCCCGTGGGGAGCGCGATCCTGGGCGTTTCGGGGTGCGCGATCGCGCGCCTAGCGCCTCTTCTCTACCCCAACGGAAAAGAATTCCCGCCCCTGCGACTGCTGCGGCCCGTTGGTCACCCCCATCTCCAGGATGCCCGGGGTGTTTTGAGTCATGCATATTCATGAGGCCGTTTTGCCTGCAGGTTGGGACTCAAAGACTCTTGCACTATGCAGAACTGCCCTCTGCCCAGGCCAAGCCTAGTGGATGAAACCTAGAAACGGCCTCCCCCCTTTATTGATGCCTTCCCCCCTGCACCACCACCCTCACGGCCACACTATCAGGTTCCTGGATGCGCAGAATTATACTCGCTGGGCGTTCTTCGGTAGCCACGTGCCCGGTGCGCGGCCACAGGCCCACTTAGGACCGTTTATCACAGGTGCCTCAGGCAACACGGAACGTGCAAACGCTCTGACTACGACAGTCGCCTCCGGTAGTTGCAAAGCCACCAGGAGCGCCTGGAGAAAGAGGCTGGCTCCTCTCCCCGCCCCATCGCCCACTCTCAGGAGGATGAGCTCCCAACTCACCCAGAATCTCCGCAGCGCCCCTAGCCGCCCGGACCCTCCCAACTTTCCTCTCGGACTCGCCCCAGTCGGGCCCCACCCTTCAGCCCACCCGGACTTGCCAGGGGAATGACTGACTAGTCTCTCGGGGATGCTGCGGGCAATTTCCACGACAAGAAGGCAGGATGGCGGCACGTTCCGACCCATGTGCTTCCCCCTACACGCCGCCCCGCTCCCCCCGATTGCGCCTACAAGTGCGCGCTGCAGAACCCGGAGGGTCGCGGGCAGAGTCCAGCTTCTCGCTCCCCTTTCCGCGAAGCCACCCTGACCTCGCCTGGCCCGAGTCCTCAGAGGATCCATCCATCCAATGCGCTCGCGTCCCCTGATCCCGGGATCCTGGGCAGCTCAGGACGGTCCCCACCCTACCCCAACCCGCGCCCTGAGCGCTGCAGCGAGTCTTTACCGTTAGTGTGTCTTGACCCGACGCCTCTAACCGCTTCCAAGTCCCGACAGAATTTGCGGGCACCCAAGGGTCGGGTCCAGCTGGCGGCGACAGAGGCCCGACGGGGGAGTCTGGACAGTCGTCTGCCAGCCAAGGGCGGGTCCGGGGGCTGGGTGGAGAGGGTCGCTGCCCTGCGGGTTGGCAGGGAGAGACTCGCGCGCGCCTGTGTGTCGGCCGGGAAGGAGCACGGGATGCAGCGCGCGCGGGTGCGTGCGCGCGGGTGTGTGTATGTGTGTGTGTGTGTGTGTGTGTGTGTGTGTGTAAGAGTGAGGGTGTGACGGAAGCTCCCACGTGCCGGGCCCGCCCGTGCCGCGGCCGCCGACAGGCTGCGGGGAGACCGGGAGGCTGCGGGAGGCTGGGGGCGGGAGGGCGCAGGGAGCCAGGTCGCTGGGCTGGGCGCCGCACTTCCCCGCCCCTCTGTCCCTTGACGCAGAGGCCGCTGCGGCTGCCCGCAGGGTTTCAGCTCCCGGCTGGGCGAGGGCAGAGTAGACCCGGACGGGGGAATCCCGTTCCAAAGCTAAAGCAAAACAAATTACCCCTTGCCATCCTGTCAAGGATGGGCACCAGACTCCCCCTCCCCTAAACCCGGCCCCCACCCCAGACTCCCCCCACCCTTTGTCTCCTCCAGGATAACAATGGAATTGGTCCTACCTCGCACCCTTTAAACATTCTTGGAGAGTCAGTAACCGGACTAGAGGAAGTGGGTATCCCTCACAACCTTTTTCTTGGCTTCCTCTCCAAGCCGGCCATTTACATTTCTTGCAAAAGAAAAGCACTCTGGGCATCTACTTCGCTGTCAAAGGATGGTCAGATAGCGCTCAGTGGTTCTGGCCAGGTTATGAGAGACTGCTTTCAGGAAGCTGGCCTCACCCTGTGTTGGCCCCTAAAGCATCTGAGACTTCTCCAAGGATCTCACTGCAACATGAAGGCTGACTTATATCTTTGTGACAATCAAGAGGTACTCATAATTTAACCATATGAAATATTCCTAAACTACACATCAATGTGCACAAAAGCTAACCTTTTGAAAATGGCTGAGTCTAGGGATAAAATTTTATGTCCTTGAAATTTGAGGAAATACAAAACAAACCTTAAAAATATTATAATGGAACATGAAGGATATTTTCCTCTTCCAGATGATGAATATTACCATTAAAAAAAATACCTTTGTGTAATTTTAGGCCTTCCAACAATCCCTCAGACTTTGACAGTTTGTATCCAATTAAGATTGAATTAAATAATAAGGCATTGCGGAGGGGTTTTTCATGCAGTGAAAAATCTCCTGGAAAGAAATCACAAGACCTAAATTTCAGGTCAGAACATTGCTACTAATCCTTAGCTTTTAACTAAGCCAGGAAAGCTTTTTCTTAGCTTCTCTTCCAATACCACCTTTAAAATATTTTTTAAAAATTAAATTAGACTTGATCTCCTGGATTCCCTTCACCAGCATGGGTAAATAAATACTCTCACAGATGCCCCACAGGAAAAAAATAAAAGTAATCACTATATAAGCCTCTTAGAGAACATCTTGCATAACTTGCTTCTTACTTCACACACACACATGCACATACATACATATAATTATAAGGGCATAGATAGATAGATAGGAAGAGAGAGAATATTACCAATAACAACAGAAAAGAATTTGAGAAAATAGGTAGACCTATATCCTCCATAATCAGTATTAGGTTTATCTATCAAATACTGGGAAACTAAGCTTATGTATGCTTGCAGGAATGGTTTACAGTAGCACTGAGAAGGTCTACTTACTTGCCCTCACACTTTTTCATTGACATTTGACGGCTATTTCAAATGCATATACAAAGCTAGCTACAAGTCACAAAATATTTAGGAAGCCATGCCCTCAATAATAATTGATGCTAATTTATGCCCATTCCTATGAGGAGAAAGAAGAGAAAACAGCCATTGAATTTCCTACTAAGTATATAGGACTTTAAAATGACTCATTTAATTTTCATATTAATTAATGAGGTGATTTTTTTCCTAGTTTAGAGACTCGACAGAAGTGAAACTCAGGAAAACAATGGCAAAAAAAAATCACACAAACTCTTTCAATGACAGAATGAGTCTAGATCTGGCTGGCTCGAAGGTTATGGTTTTTCGTAAACTGTCTTGTAAGCCTTTAGCAAATGTATAGATTTTAAGAGGAGTAAAGGGTAGATGTTAACATATGGACACCTTCTTTGAAAATAAGTGGAATGGAGAATGGAAAGATCCCAATGAGAGTCTTAAAACTCCAGAGATATAGAAAATTCATTAGAAAATTTTAACAACAAAGACCACTCAAAGATATAATGTTGAATACCTAATATCGTTAAGTAAGGATTATTCAGTACTTTCTCTGTCACACCTGGGTAAAATGACTATATAGTGTTGATGGTGTGGAATAGGAGGCTACACACAAAATAAGAAGAGCAAAATCTGCAAGATTTCAACCAAAATCAAGACAGATTAGTTTTTGTTTTGTTTTTTGCCTGGCTGTATTAAATAAGCAAATGTTGATTCTGCATGAAGTATGTGCCTTTGCAATGTACAGAGTCATTTATATGCCTTGTTTTTCATCATTCTTATAACAAAGGACACTTATTAAGCAGACCTCACAGAAGAAAAATCTGAAACTTTGGTTGTTCAAGTTCACACAGTCAGAAAACATCTGCTTGATACTTATTTTTAAGTAATTGATATTATACTTCTCATTTGAAAAAAATATCTGATGAAAGCCTTGATGGAGAAAAAAGTGAGTATGCTCTTCAACCAGAGGGCATTGAGAGGGAGGAATCAGACTTGGCTAACTTTTCTACCCTACTAGTTCTTAAACCAAACTCCTCAAAAATGACAATGTTATGCCAAAACAACCACAAATGGAGTTTAAGAAAATTTTTAAAAAGCAATTCAAAGATTTACCCTTTCCCAAAAGTTTAAACCACAATAAGAAAGGAAAAAATTTAAATCACTTCACAGCATAACATTAAATCATTTTTCTATATTGCTGTAGACGCAGCAAATGTGCTGTATTTTTTATTCTAATAAAAAGTTTAAAGCACTAATTCTTCATGCTAAATGTTATTTGATATATAGTCTCAAATCCTATGAAACCAAAGTCTGCATAGTCTGAAAGTATCTAGTGAATACTCTTCTTCCCACACTTTCATGACTGATGGAAGATTGACAGTGGAAAGAAGCAAAGCAAGTAACTAGGTTAACTGCACTCTCTATAGGTAGAGGATAGGTTAAGTGGGTTGAAAAATGTCAAAGCAATCAAATCAATGTTTTAAACAATTGTCTAAGATAGTGAAGCATTCATGATAGTAGACAATGATTGAATTTTGCTAATATTCTCTTCCATTTTGCAAAGAAAGTCAGAATGGCTCTGACCGGTTAAAAATACCGACACTATGTTGACACAGGAAATGTACCACCTGCTTCTATAAATAGATCATAACTAAATTTTTAACTTACCCTTTAATTATAAGTTTATTTTTTATAAAACAGATTATATTTCTAAAATATAGGTAGAGTGTCCATCATTAACATAGGCCTCCATCTAAGTAAAGATCTGAAGACAAAATGTTCTCATGGTATTTGTTTTGCCTGCCACAACTTGTGTGAGCTGTTTTTTCTTTGACTATCTTTGAAATCACTTTACTAATTTATTCAAATTCTGTAGGCTCCATGAGCTAGTCTAAAGTTGATAAAAAAGTGATACCTGCTTATTAATTTCAAGGTATGAATATGTACATGATGAAAATTTAAAGACTCAGTATTTCTGTTCTCTGCCTTTCTGTCAGTTATTCAACCTAGTCGTTATCAACCTAGTTGTTAACTCTTTGATATATTTTTTAAATGTTCTCAAAGAAAAAAAAGGCCCACCCACCACCATCCATTATACCCCTGTACCATTGCTCCCACATCCTTTCCTCTTCACCTCTGGTAATCTCAGTTCAGTTATCAGTGTACACAAGCTTAATTTTATTTTGTTTTGTCTTTTCATTCACTTTGCTTGCTTATATTTCATAAGTACATGGAAATGTCCAATATGAATTTTTATCTTTCTAATTTATTCAAATTCTGCATAATCCCCTTGAGTTTCTTCCATTTTACTGCAAATGGCAACATTTCATTTTTCTTATAACTGAGTAAAATTTCATTGTGTATATATCCCATATCTTTTTTATCCAATCATGTATCCGTGTGCACTTAGGTTTTCTTCCATATCTTAGCTATTGTAAATAATGCAGCAATAAGCATAGTGGTACATATATCTCTTTGAGTTGACGATTTTATATTCTTCAGATGGATATCCAGAAGTGGAGTTGCTAGATCATATGGTAATTCTATTTTCAGTTTTTTGAGAAGGTCCATATTGCTTTCCAAAATGGCTGCACCAAGTTACATCCCCACCAATAGTGCCTAAGTATCCTCTTTCTCCACATTTTCACCAACACTTTGTATCAGTCTTTTTGATACAAGCCATTGTTATAGGTACGAGATAATATCTTTTAATTTGTATTTCCCTAATACGAAATGATAATGAACATTTTTTTCCAAGTCTGTTGGGCATCTGCTTATTCCCTTTAAAAACGTGTCTATTCACATCTTCTGTGCATTTTTAATTAGGTTGTATTTTGTTGTTGCTAAATTGAATAAATTCTTTAGATACTTTGGTTATTAACCCCTTATCTGATGTCTTATGTGGAAATATCTTCTCCCAGTCAGTAGACTTTTTTTTTTATTCTGCGGATATTTTCTTTTGCTGTGTAAAATCTTTTTCATTTGATGTATTCCTAATTATTTATTTTATTTTAATTTCCCTTGCAGATGAGATGGCTCCATGTTGAGTCCCCCAGAGACATCTCTATTATTTATGTCATAGAATGTATACACCTAGGTTTTCTTCTATTTTATGGTTGGGGAATTGCATCCAAATCTTTAATCCATTTTTAATTTATTTTTGTGTATGGAATTAGAGAGCAATTTAGTTGCATTCCTTTACATGTGACTGTTCAATTTTCCCAACAGCATTTTTTGAAGAGATTTTCCTTTTTCCTTTGTATGGTCTTGGCTTTGTCATTAAATTAATGTTGATTTTTGTGAGAATTTATTCTGGGATCTTAGTTGA